GAGCTTGAATCCATGTCTCATGTCCATTGTTCCCCTACCTTTAACACCATTCTTCACTTTTTCTCTTACACACAAACAAAGATTACTTCTGATTTACTTGTATGCTGAAATCAGGATTTAAACTCCATTTTTAATGACGAATTACACAAAAGGAGATGATTTCTCTGGTCATGGACAGGGATTCATTTCTAATGATAAGAATTTCTGTGAAATTCTTACTGGTAGAAAAATAGCCAAGGAGTTGGGGCGTACCAGTTTTCCATCCCTCTGGCTGGAGAGCTACGTTCTTCATCCAGAGAGTGCTGAAGGGCCCTGGACCACGCCAGACCTTAGGGGACCCTGTTGGTTGACAGTCTGCCCCCTCCCCTGCCTGTCTAGGCACTTAGCAGCTGCCACAGGCAACCCCAGGAGGGCTCTAGCCCTGGAAGATTGTTCTCCCGTCCCACAAATTAACTGATGGGCAGGGTTAGAGGGGGCATTCTCCCCCAGCAGGAATCAGTATAGTCCTCACTTCATCTACTCTTCCTGGTGAAACTGGAGGAGGGCAGGGGACCATTCTCTCACCACACCAAAGGTTCCCGAGCCCAGGGAGCTTTGCTGCCATGGCACTGCTGCTTGCTGCCCCCTGACAGTTCTCCAGGTCAAGCCAGACAAGTGTGAGAAGTACAGGGAACCAGTCTCCCACAATGGCTGTGTGCTTGTTTTCTTGTGCCAGGAGGAAAAATCTTTTTCTTCTGGCAAAAATGTAATGCTTCTCCATGGCCTCTGACTACCTAATGCACCTAACCAGGGAGAGGTTTTAAAAGAGTTAACTATTTCAACCCCCATTTTGATCCAGTCATTTTTCATTGAATCCAGACACCGGGGCTGTCCCTGGGGCGGGGGCAGATCGGGGCGACTGCCTCCAGGCCCTGCACTTTTGGGGGCTTCATGGGCAGTGTCATATAGGCTGCGCCGCTACTGCCAGCTCCAGCTGCTCGTCACCCCTCCCCTTCCCTCCCCTCCCC